GACATGTGGACGTGGGGACTGTACAAGCCGTGCACGTGTGGACGTGGGGCTGCTACAAGCCGTGGACGTGGGGGCTGGTACAAGTCGTGCACGTGTGGACGTGGGGGCTGGTACAAGCCGTGCACATGTGGACATGGGGCTGCTATAAGCCGTGGACGTGGGGGCTGGTACAAGCCGTGGACGTGTGGACGTGGGGCTGGTACAAGCCGTGGACGTGTGGACATGGGGCTGGTACAAGCCGTGCACGTGTGGACGTGGGGACTGGTACAAGCCGTGCACGTGTGGACGTGGGGCTGGTACAAGCCGTGCACGTGTGGACGTGGGGCTGGTACAAGCCATGGACGTGTGGACGTGGGGCTGGTACAAGCCATGCACATGCTCCGGACGGCTCCCGGATGCCCACAGGAAAGCTGTCCAAGTCCCTGGCTGCCCAGGGCACCATCTCTCAGTTATGTCCCCAAAGACTGGCGATTGATTGGTCATTCCAGCTCCTGGCTGCCCCACAGTGTCAGAACTGAGCTCTGGAGGGTTTTTAGTAGAGGACTTTCAGGGGTGGATTGCCAGGCCTTTTGTACAAGGCATCTTGGGGTACTTGGAACTTCTAGCCTTTCAGTGAGTAGACAAATATATTAACCGTTTGCAACACATAGGAGCACCTCTTAGTTTTGTAGAAGTGATAAACTAGTCCAGAAATGCAGGTGTTAAACCATTTGTTTATTAAGACCAAGTCATAGAAATCTCATTTTCTTGGGCAAAACAGTAGCTCACACATAGGCCAAAACCCTGTGCATGGAGATGCCACACCAGCCCCCAAAGGGCGAGGAGGCCAGAAGCGAGGCACTCTGGTGATAGCGTTCTTCCTTTTTACTAAACTACATTCTGATTTTGATGAAGGTTTACATAGAGGTTTAGGTTTCCCATTCAACAGTTTCTGCACAAGTTGTTCAGTGGCTATATTCTTCTCTTCACAATTTGTGAATAGTCTCGTCATTTCCATTCTGGTGATTCTGATTTTGTTCATCTAGTCTCCTTGACCCTTTACACTCTCATCTTTGTTTTAAAGTCATAGTTAGCCATTTGGTGATAGCCATTGTTTGGAGAGTCAATCTATTATCTATTATTTAGCTATAAGGTAACTTCGAGGGCTAGGTTTAGTTCAGAAACTGTGTATGAGGACAGTTGTCTCAGAGAACGTCCTATAGCCATGATGTCTTAACTGATTCACTAAGTCTGGGTTTTTGTATTTGGTTTTCTGTCATGATTTGAAATCATGGAAGAGACCACGATTTTCTTCCATTTACGAGGACCCAGTTTGGACAGTTGTTAGTGGTGGCCGGGCACTATCTAGTTCCTCTGGGCTCAGGGTTCATGACACCTTGGTTAGAGTAGATGATTTACCTCTCTAAGTCTTTGATTTCCTTCTTTCTCCTTTGCTTCAGAGGAATAGAAAGAGTTATTTCTTAGATGGCCACTCTGCAATCGTGGTCAGCTGGAAAATGGCTCAGCCAAAATGTCCACCTCTCCTTGCTCTGGAGTTGGAACCAACTCAGCTGACCCTCCAGCAGGTTTCCAAGGTTGTAAATCATGTGGGAGGAGAGCACCCATCTTCCTCCCGAGGAGCTTCTGGTTAGGGACCTCTGGTGGCCTAGTGGCAAGAAGCTGTGCTGCAATCCTGAAGGTGTAGAGTTTGAATCCACCAGATGCTCCGCTGGAGAAGGAGGGGCAATCTCCTCCTGTGTCAGTCAGATCCAATTTGATGGTACCCAGCAAGGAGAAAAAGAAAAGAAAAATTCCACCACTTGGAAAAAAAATGTATATAGAATAATAAATATAATATTATAGGGAGTTCTGGTGGCCTAGTGGCAAGAAGCTGCACTGCAATCCCAAGGAACCTCTGGTGGATTCAAACCAGCAACCCTGTTAAAAGTTTTCAGTTAGGGAAGCTCTGGAGGCCTTGTGGCAGGAAGCTTCACTACAATCCCAGAGGCGTGCAGTTCGAATCCACCAGATGCTCTGCACATTCTCTTTCTGTACCAGTCAGATCCGATTTGACAGCCCACACTCAAAAATAATAAAACGTTTTCAGGTAGTTCGCTAGATCTTTACTGGGTTCCCCGATGCCTGCTGGCTCTGTACTGGTCATTCGTTACACTGTGGATGGATCTCAGTTGCTCTTGAAACCTGTCTTTGTGCTGTTTCACTCCCTGGGCTTCGAGGACCTAACAACAGTGCATCCTGGTCCTTGGATTTGGGGTCAGGCTGGCTTAGAGTAGCCTCCAGCCTTGGGGCCATCTGCAAAGGCCCACTTGTACCGCTGCCTGTTTTCTACCTCTTTGCATGTTAATGCTGTTGTTGTTATGTGCCGTCGAGTCGCCTGCAACTCATAGCGACCCTATGTGCAACAGCCCTAAACTCCGCTCTGTCCTGTGCCAATCGCACTGTTTCTGACACTCCCATCCCAATTATCCCAGTCACTGAATCAATCCACCTCATAGAGGGCCTTCCTCTCCTGCGCCGTCCCTCTACCCTCCCAAGCATGATGTCCCTCTCCAAGGACCGGTCTCTTCTCACAACATGTCCAAAGTATGTTAGCCAGAGCCTCAGAATCCTTGCCTCCAAGGAGCCACCCAGTTTAACCCTTTCCAGGACAAATCTGTTTGTTTTCCTAGCAGTCCATGGCATTCTCAATACTCTTCTCCAGCACCACAGCTCAAAGGCATCAATTCTCTTTCTATCCTCCTTGGTCATTGTCCAACTCTCTGATGCATAACAAGTGATTGCGAAGACCATGGCCTGTATCAGATGCACCTTAGTCTCCAAAGAGATACCATTGCTCTTTAGCACTTTGGAGAGGTCCCTAACAGCAGACTTTCCCATGGCAATGCGCCTTTTAATTTCCTGGCTGCTGATGCCAAGACTGTTGACTGTGGAGCCAAGCAAACTAAAGCTGTGTACAATCTCAATCTCTTCACCATCCATGCTGATGCTGCCAATTGGTCCAGTGGTGAGAATCTTTGTCTTCTTGACATTGAGCCTCAGGTTTATCTAAGGTTTAACTCCAGACCAAAAAAAGCAGACTCTGGTTAGGCCATTTCAGCAACAGCCTTTACCTCAATGGCCTGTCATGATGGCAGCCAGAACCAGGAGCTGGGAGAGCTACTTCTCTCTCATCCGCTGGCCCTGCCCAGGTCTGGGATGTGTGGGTTCCCTGGATCTCAGGAAGTGTCTTTGCAGTGGACAAAATAATACCCCCAGAGACCCCCTCGTTGGAATCCTGTGGCAATGTTACCATGCATGGCAGAGGTTAGGCTACATGGGGAATTGAGGTTGGCTGTCCATAGCCTTTAAAACAAGGACACAATCCAAGGTTCGCTCACTGCTCTGGGGAGGGTAGACATAGTGGGCAGCTCAGGATGTGTGCTGGGGAGCACATAGCAGGAGGCGTGCTGAGGGCTTCATGAAGCACTCAGGTGGGAAGTGATGGTAAACTCCATCCTGGCAATGTTCTCTCTGTCCTGGGGTTCTAGCTGACGAGCCCTGGCTGTCAGAGAGGAGTCAGAGCTCAGAGCCTCTCAGTCCAGCCCTGACTCCGCACAGCCTCCTCCCCACACTTCTGTTTACATAAATCTCAGTATGGGGGTCTCACTACCTGTCACTGTATGTAGCCTCTTCTACTGTGCCTGAGAGCGGCTTCCTTCCTGGGATTTTTGTTTTTTTATTATTTTTTTGTATATGTACCGTCAAATTGGATCTGGCTGGTACAGGAGGGGATTGCCCCTCCTTCTCCAGCAGTGGATTCGAACCACGTGCCTCTGGGATTGCAGTGCAGCTTCTTGCCACTAGGGCACTGGGACTCCCTAGGATTTTTGTTTTTTTAAGTCCTTATTAACATTGGTTGGAAGTTTAGTCAAAAATACCAAGGTCTGGGTCCTTCCCAAGACTCCATGAACCAGAATCTCCCAGTGGGATGTATGAATGTGTGTGCTTGCCGGTAAGTACGTCTGTGTGTGTGTGCGTATGCACATACCAACTTTAAGAGCTTGCTCTGTTGTTGGTGTGTAAGGCTTTGTTCGTGATGTGTCTCTCAGTGCATGTGTCTTTCTGTATATGTGTATTAATTATGTCAGTGTGTCTTGTCAGTGTGTGATAGTGTGTGTGTCGTATCCGTGCTTTGTGTGGGGGATGTGTGGTCTTTGGATCTTGGCAGTGTGTGTTGATATAGTATGGACCATTTTAAGAGGTCTGCACTACTGGTGTGTTTCTGTGTGAGTGAGAGTGCATGGGCCCATCTGAAGCCTTCTTGCACTGTTGTGTGTGTTTGTGTATATGAGTGTGCACAGACTCATCATAAGCCCTCTCGTTGTTGATGTGCATCTGTGTGCATGGGTGTGTCTGTGTGTGTGCAGGGACCTATCTGAAGCCTTCTCTCAGTGTTGGTGTGCATGGGTGTGTGTGTGTGTGTGTGTGTGTGTGTGCAGGGACCCATCTGAAGCCTTCTCTCAGTGTTGATGTGTATCTGTGTGCATGGTGTGGGTGGGTGTGTGTGTATGCGTGTGCTGTCAGCGTGCATCAGTGCACACACTCATTTTTGTGGCTCTTGCCCTGTTGATGTGCATTTGCTCGTGTCTGTGTGGCGTGTCTGCATGTGCACACCCTTCTATCTGGTCACCCCGCGCACTGGCCCAGGAGCCCATTGGCCCACACAAGTGGAGGCCCTGGCAGCACGTGCTGGGCGGCCACATGTTCCGACCTGCCCCTGGCCCGCCCATGCCCGGGGGCCTTCACGGCTTCATTCAGATAATGTGGTTTGAATTGAGAAACTGGGTCCCTCACCTCCCTTCACTTCCTCCTCCCCACCTCCCCACCCACGTTTGGACCCAACTCCTTGCTAATTAACCATCCTCACCAGATGGGGGGCCCCCTCCCCCGGGTTCAAGCACCAGCTGTAACTTGTTAGCAGCCCGGGTGGAGGCTGTGGAGGTGGATGGAGCAGCCACGTCGCATCTGGGGCTGCCTCCTGCTCCTTCTTTCTGCTGCTGGGGGCCAGTGGGAATGGGGCCAGGGGTGAGACCCACTTCCACTTCTCTCCCTTGTTCCTGGGACCCAAATGTGTCTTCCCTTCTTTACCTTCTTGTTAATAAGTCATCACTAAGTACTTCGAGCTCCAGTGACGTTCTCTAGGGAAGCCAAGTTCCACGGAATGGAGGGAGAGTACAGGGCCCCAGCCTGGCCCCTGCTCACACCCCAGCCAGCATGGCGAGCCTGCTCTTGGCCTTGGTCTCCAAGACCTTGGGTTTCAGCAGGTAGCCAGGGACCATTGCTTCAGGTCTTCTGCTCTGTGGGTTTTGTGTGATGCAGTGATCTACTCTCTCCTTGCTGAGGGTCCACGTGGCTTCATGATCAGCTCCTCTCCTCCTCCTGTTCTGACCTAGTGAGCTCCAGGGTTGCATCCCACCACTCCCCTGACGTAGGAGAACGCTCCCCTTTCTCCCTCCCACGATTGTTCCCCCAGGGGGAGGAGGGCGATCAAGGCAGTGCCCAGGTGATGCCCCTCACAGGCTCGTCCGAGCTCTGCCAGCCTTCTGGCTCCATGTTGGATTTCCACCCGGTGTTCCAGGTATGAGAGTGGGTGAGAGCAGAGTTCACTCCTCTGACGGTTCCTTCAATGGGTCACAGCGGCCTAGTCTCCAAACAGCTTTGCTCTCCAGGGCAGCTGGCTTGCTGCTAGCTATCTCACGTTCCAGGGGCCACCGGCTCCAAGTGAGGGAGGGACCCTCTTGACCGCCACTGCTTTCTCTACCCCATCGACCCTGCGTCCGTGCTCACCACCCCCTCCTGCTCATGGGAATTGCTCCTCGTTATTCCTGGTGGGCCTTCTTCCCTGTCCCTCTGTAAAGTGTCCTTCCGGGTCTTTGCCAACTCCAGCTAGCGTGAGGTCATTTCACAAAGAATTTTGAGTGCCCAGTGGTTCCTTGGATAAACACAGAGGCTGTTCTGTTATAGTTCAGTAAATATAATTTTCTCATTGCTTTGTATGTCTGAAAACATGCATTTCTGAACCAGGACCAGTTGCTGGTGACCACATGTGTGTCAGAGTGGAGCTGACCTCAATAGAGGGTTTTTCCCCCTCTGCAATAAAAGTTTATTTCATCTTCATTTGCTATTTAAACATCTTTTAAGATCTAAGTTGTGCTTTTTAAAAAAAGCTCATGTTTAAGTGAAAGAAGAATATTCCGTTCAACCCCTTGCACGTATTTTGTTTGATGACATTGGCTCCATTTGCACATTGCATCATCACTCGTCCCTAAATGACTGATTTCCCAAAGTAAATGCCTGGATTTTTGTCCCAAGGTATCCCTGGGGGTATTCAAACCACCACCCTGTCGTTCAGCAGATGAACACATTGTCCAGGCTCTGAGCTCTAGACACATGCTGTGCTGCTGCTGTTGGTAGGTCCCATCACATTGGCTTCAGCTCGTAGCAGCTCATATCCAGCAGATCTGAATGTGCCCAGCCCCGTACCGTGCTCACGATCTCTGCCACGCTCAGCCCACAGCTGCGGTCACTGTGTCTGTCCACCTCATCGAGGACCCCCCTCTGCTCCGCCGACCCTCCACCTTTCCCAGCCTCATGTCCTTGTCCAGAGACTGCCCCTCACTGGCATGTCCACTCCACCGACCCTCCACCTTTCCCAGCCTCGTGTCCTTGTCCGGAGACTGCCCCTTGCTGGCATGTCCAGTCCGTGAGCTGCAGTCTCTCCATCCTTGCCTCTAAAGAACACTCCGGCTGCACTTCTTGACAGTTTTGTGAGTTCTTCCAGCATAGATTTCTTCATTCTTTTGGCAGTCCGTGGGATGGTCAAAGCTTTCAGCCAGCCCCACAGTTCAGAGGCATCAGTCCTTTTTACGGTCTTCCTTACTCATTGACCAAATTTCGTATAAACACGAAACAGTGGAAAATACCATGATTTGAATCAGGTGCATCCTAGTTTTTAATCCGATACCCTTTCTCCTCAGATATATAGATAGGATTAAATGTTGGAGGTATTTTAAAAAGCTGATGAAGTCTGTAGGGGCTTGATCAGAAGTCCATATCACCTGGGGCCCACAGTCCAAGGGCAGAAGTTGAATTTTGCATTCAGGTGTTAATGTTGTTGTTATGTGCCGTCGAGTCACTTGTGACCCATAGTGACTCTGTGTACAACAGCCCTAAATCCTGCTCTGTCCTTTGCCAGTCTCACTGTCTGTGACACACCTATCTTCATTACCCCAGTGAATCAATCCATCTCATCGAGAATCTTCCCCTCCTGCGCTGTTCTTCCACCCTCCCAAGCATGACGTCCCTCTCCAAGGACTGATCCTGTCTTGCCACATGTCCATATGTTATAATTTCATTGGAAAGTTCTAGATGGAAGAGACAAGATGGGTTGTGGTTTAGGATGAAGAGAAGATTGCACAGGGGCACCGGTCCTGAGAGAGAGAGAGAGAGAGTGTGTGTGTGTGTGTGTTTTCTATGTGTGTGCTTGTGTGAGAAAGCAAGGAGGCTTCTGCAGTGTTTACCAGTGCTCCATCTCTGACTAACGCAAACGCCTACAGCTCTTTCATGCTTCTGGGAAACCCCATCCATCATTTTCTTCCTCGCAGGAGCGTGTGCAGTGGGTGTTCCTGGAAGGTCGGTGGGATGTGACCTCTCCCCTCTTTGCTTCTTCTCCTGAGTGGTGCTGAGTGGGGGGATACTCGAGTCCCAGTTCTTACTTGCTGGTGCCGTCTTGCTCCCTTCGAAGGGTGGCGTCCTGGCATTGGCTTGGCACCTCAGGGGAGGTGGCTCAGAATCGGAGATCTACAGCAGGGTATTCTCGTGGGATGGTCATGGAGTGTTCGTGGAGCCCAATTATAAAAGAAACCAGCCTCCATGGAAGGAATGTTTCAGAAAGTCCTTCTGGCAGTCAGTGGGGCCTTGGCTTTACGTCCTCTACCCAAGCCACTTGCTGTGATGGAAATGTGACAGATGAGGCCTCATGTCTGGAAATCCACCTTTCAGCTCTGTGGGTGACATGAGGCCCACAGCTCGGATGAGAAAAATGCCACGTGTGTGTTCATTTTTACTTTTTCTCCCTTTCCTGTCACTTCACATCCTCATCCACGCAGAAAACAGCAGCAGCGACCAGAGGCAGGCCTGTAAGAAGCACGAGCTGTATGTCAGCTTCCGAGATCTGGGCTGGCAGGTAAGGGGTGGCGGGTGGGAGGCCTGGCGTGCTCCTTGCTCCCCTCAAGACAGCAACGTCCTGTTTCTCCTCTGTGTCAGCTGGGACCCCAATACCAAGGGCCCTGTGGGAGGGCAGGGGAAGACATGTGGGTTAAAAGCTGTAGGTTTCTCATGAATCCCAAGAGCAGAAGTTTGGCTGAGACTCAGACAAGAATCAGGAGCCCTTACCCCTCCAGCTTCAGAGCCTCAGTCTGTGTGGGAGCCTCAGCCCCAACCTGCAGATTGTTGCTTCCCTTCATCTGAGCAGTGAGGGGGACATAACTGAGTCTGTATTAGTGACAGTTTAGCATCTTAGAAAGCCAGTCATCCTTCTATGTCCTGTCTGCACCTCCTGCCCCTTCCATGATGTAAATTCCCAGGGAAGGAGCTGATTGGTCCAGCTTGGGTCAAGTGTTTCTTCCTTAGCCAGTCAACTGTTTTAAGGGATGGAGTCATGTTACAAAAACATGGCTGTGCCCTATGGAGAAGCTGAGAAGTTGTAGGAGTCAGACAACCTAACAAGCTTCCCTGTTTAGTTCTGACGTGACCCTCATTCAGCAATGCTTCTAGAGTGTCTGCTACATGCTGGCCCTGTCCAGGTCCTGGAGGGCCAGTAGTGAGCATGGCAGCATCACCACGTCCCCACCCTCATGGGGCATGCATGGGGGCTGTCATTCCATCACAGGACAGCTGGCCTGTCCTTCCCTTGAAGTGCAGTGTTTTCTGGGGAAGGCTGGACTCTTGGGATTTGTGCCCAATAATGGAGATCACTCGGGACCCTGCTGGGACCACGGCCTCAGGACAATGCCTGTTCTCACAGGAGCCAGGCTGTGTGTCCATCTGTGCTGGAACCAAACCGCACTCTCTTGGGTCAGTGAGGGGTGTACTCTCGCCTACAGCCTGTGTGAGCTAAACCAACCCAGCAGCCAGGGTGGCCACCACGTGCCCTTATTGAGGAGCACTTTGCACGTGTTAGCACATCAGGGCCCTGGCTGGGTGTGTTGCTACACTGTCCCTCCGTTTTCCATGAATCACCATGGGCAGTGAGTAAATCTGCAGGAAGGCGAGCTGACACTGAGGCTTTGAGTAAAAAAACCTGTGCTATCTCCAGTAGGTGTTCTCTCCAGTAGGTCTCCATTAGTGGACAGGCCTGGTCATCAAAGCTCCCTGCTGTACCTCCTTCCAGCACAGCAGATGAAATCCTACATAACCCCATCCAGGACTCAGCCCCTCGTTCTCTGCCATGTGGTCTGCCGCCTGTGTCCTGGCCCCACTGGGCAGCTCAGCAGAGCATGTTAGCCACGCCTGTCACCCCCGGATGGAAAACCAGCCAGAGTCTGGGGCTCGGCCATGGCGTGCTGCGTCCTGTGCTGCACACATCCTGTGTGGTTCCGGAGCTCGGACCCTTCATCCCCTCGCTCTCCTCTCTCTTCAGGACTGGATCATCGCCCCCGAAGGTTACGCCGCCTACTACTGCGAGGGGGAGTGCGCCTTCCCGCTCAACTCCTACATGAACGCCACAAACCACGCCATCGTGCAGACGCTGGTAGGTACCATCTGCCGGGCGCCATCGTCAGAGCCACCAGTCGAGGCCACCGGTGTCCCTGTCTAGACGGCAGCTGCCCACACTCCTCGCCCTTTCTTGCCCAAGCAGCGGTGTGGTCTGGACCTTCCTGGCCCCGCTGTGAGTGAACAGGTCAGCCAGGCTGACCCACAGCTCCAGAGCCACTGAAATGCACCCTCAGACTTGAGATGTGCCGTGGACGTAAAACACACACTGGCTTCCACACAGTGCAAATAGTCCTCAAAGGAAACGATCTCATTAATATGTCTCACACTGTTACTACAAAGCAATAAGCTATATCCAATGTATTATAGAAACACGTGTACCAGGAGACCGGGTGACAGTGTGCTGGCAGCCAGGTCGATGTGGGAACTCACCCAGCCGCTCCACGTGACCACCGGGTCAGCACCTGAGAGCCCCTGTGAGACAGTTCACCTGAGACCCTGTGGGCCAGTTCACCTGAGACCCTGTGAGACAGTTTCTACTCTGTCGCATGGCATCACTTAGAGTTGGAATCGACTCACCATCACTGTCTATTGAATGATGTTATAAGTTGAACTGACGGTACTGCGGGCAGATTGGGTAAATAGTTGACATTTATTCCACCTGTCACAGACGACAGAGGACGGCTGACATACTGTTATGTGTTGGGCTGCTGACTGAATGGTTAGTGTCTTGAATCCACTAATTACCCCACGGAGAAAGACAAACAGCTTTCCTCCTTAAAGACTTACAGCCTCGGGCCCGATGAAGGGTCGCCATGGGCAAGGACCCCTCCGCGGTAGTGGGCGTGGTCGTAGCTGAAGGGCACTGCCGGCCTCTGTTGGGTCCGGATTCAGGCGGCTGTTGTGCATCCTTCAGGGCTCAGGACAGCCCCCCACACTGCCTGACACGCCCCCGAGGCCTGATCTGGTAGGTCCTGGACGGGAGTGTTGCCATCATTAGATGCCATTGAGTTCTCTCTGACCCATGGTGGCGAAGGGGCAACAGAATGCAGTGTTGGCCCCTTGGCCTCTCCTGTGCCATCTTGCTGATTGGTGGTATGTTGTGACTGCCAAGGGAACCAAAACGCAGGTCCCTGGGTCATCCTCTCGTCTGTGAAGTAGGGGAGTCCCCTGGGCTGAGCGGGCAGACAGAACACTTAGAACAGGGACATGTGCTCGAGAGACACAGCAGGACCATGGTGTCCTTCCAGACACCTGGCGGCCGGGCGCCCTGCCTCGCCGACCCCTCACTGCTGCCCATCCTTGTGTGTTCCAGGTCCACTTCATCAACCCAGACACGGTGCCCAAGCCCTGCTGCGCCCCCACCCAGCTCAACGCCATCTCCGTCCTCTACTTCGACGACAGCTCCAACGTCATCCTGAAGAAGTACAGGAACATGGTGGTCCGGGCCTGCGGCTGCCACTAACCCCTCCTGGAAGCCCGGCCTCTGGGGCCGCCACCTTCCAGCTGGACCTTTGTCTCCCAGCGCCTGCCTAGAGCTGAAGGCGAAGCCGTGGGCCACTCCTTCCAGGGACCACTTCTTTCTCGCCCCCAACTTCGAAGATGTAGGAAGATTTGGGGATCTGAAAGGCTTCTGATGGACTTTCGAGCATCCTTTAGACAAGATCCCACATCAGCATCAGGCAAAACCCTGGCAGGCGCAAGGCCCTGGAAGGGGCATGGTGGCTGCCATTGGCTGGGAGGCCGCAGCTCTGCACTGACTCACTCTGGAGACAATGATATTGCCCGGAGCCAGGCCACCCAGCAGAGGGAGGACGGAGAGGGGCGGGCGTGCCTTCTGTGCCGAAGAACTGACGCGGAAGTTTCTGTAATAAATGTCCCAATAAAACGAATGAATGAAAATGGTTAGGATGTTACCGAGAGATTTTCCTAAACAATTTATCCGTTTACTCCGGTTTCATAAACAGAAGCCTTGGAGGAAGTGGGGTGGTCCCCTCCGTGCCATTTCAGTTTTACTCTGAGGCTCAGAGGGCCCCAGTGTTTACCCAGGCCTGCCCAATTCCAGAGTGTGGTGGGAGGGCCCCTGGGTTTACCCAGGCCTGTCCAAATCCAGAGTCTGGTGGGAGCATCCCCGAGTTTATCCAGGCCTGCCCAAATTCAGGATCGTCTGGGAGGACCCCAGTGTTTACCCAGGCCTGCCCAAATCCAGCATCTGGTGGGAGGGCCCCTGTGTTTACCTAGGCCTACTCAAATCTGAGATTGAGTGGGTGGGGCTGGGATTTCTGCCTGGAAGACAGGGTATGTTGACCTCAGAGGTGTGTATGACCTGTTTTCCACTGGGTATGTGGTAGCAGAAGTCAAAGCAGGCATGTGGGCCCTCAGCTGGCATCTTCAAGCAGTGAAATCACAGGTCTGGCAGGAGACAAGGAGGCCTGAACTTGAGACTTGGTACTGAACTTGGCCAACACAAGCCCCAAGTGAAGCACACCGAAGAAACCTAGTGCTCAAAAGGGGGGACCGTCCATCAAGTGAGCCCTCTGAGCTCTGGGTTGGGGGTTCTGTGCAGACCTCAGTGGCCCCTTCTTTTCATCTATAGACACCCCAATCTGCTAACTTCTCCCTGAAGGAAAGGGATGCCATTAGGGTCGGGGAGAGGGGCACCCAGGCCCAGGGTAGGCTGGATGTGAGGCTCAAATGGAAGATTCTAGAATCCATATGGAGTGTAAGGTCCCAAGCAAGCATCTGAGTGGAAGTACCTTTTTCTTGAACAGTGTTTTGTGGTTGGGGTGAAAGTTAACAGAGCAAATAAGTTTCCCGTTCAGCAATTTATCCACATGTTAAGGGCTGTGACCTCTTAATGTGACATCACTCTCCCCTGTTCCTCCCTGGGTTACCCATTTCCACTCCCCTCATCTTTCCTGCCTTCTGAACTTTAGTTTGGGGCACATGCTGTCCTCGTGGCCCTCCTTTTCTGGTTTGAAGTGCCTGTTGCACACAAGCACCCCGCACCATGGCTAGTGGGTCTTAACATGCAGCAGGCGACCCTCTGATACTCCCTCCTCTAGGGCCACTCAGGAGCCCTCTAACTCCCAGCCCAGCCCATCTGGAGCTTGGGGGACCAGTCATCTGTGACTGTTTCTCAACATCTGCAAAAAGGACAAGGTTGCCCAGCAAGACCTCCAGTCGCACAGGACATGGTCTGGGGAAACCATTCCTGTACTATGATGATCAAGCTCGTCCCTGGGAACGCGGGACCCCTGTTTCTCTTTTTCTTTTTACCTTCTGCCCTAGCTTGGGCCGCAGGCTCCTAGCTCTGCCTGGGCAGGGGGAAGGAATGGTACTGGCCATTGCATTTTGCTTCAGGCTTTTTGCAACATTGAGGTTTTGGAGGTTCTCTCCACTTAAACCCTGACCAGCCCCAGGGCATGAAGCCCACTTGGTACATTTAAACATGTGAATTGCCCAACAGAGTATTTATTTCCATCTGAAGCTCTTCTAAGAACGCACGTAATCTAGCTGCGCTGCAGTCCCAGAGGTACATGGTTTGAACCCACCAAATCCTTTGCTGGAGAAGGAGAGAGGCAATCTCCTCCTGTCCCAGTCAGATCTAATTTGACGGTACACACACAGAAAATAATAAAATAAAATTTAAAAAAATCTTAAAAATAAAAAACAATCCTCGTAACCCTCGCCCAGGACAGTTAGCTCACCTGCCTTCAACCTGTTTGTTTTCTTAAGTCTGTTTATAAATGGCCAGACCCATGTGCCCAAGACTGTGACATTAGTAACAATTGTGTATAAAGAGGCAGAATCAAAAGGGCTTTGACTTACAAGAAAAGACAACATTTGGCTCTTGGGCCTGCTTCTATCTGTGTGTGGTGATGGTGTTTTCCTCTTTCAACTGCTAGAAATTGGAGTTCTCTCCAACTGAAGGCCTCTGCCTTGACCATGCTGTTTATCATCCGGCCCCTGGAGAGGAATTGGCGCTTGTCAATATTTGGTGCAGCTGTGTGGCGCTGAGGGCGGGAGGGACCCACACACCCGATGTGACATTGGGAGGCTCCGCTCCAGAGGTCCTGATGGGATCACAGTGCAGCTGTCAGCAGCTGTTTCAGAGAGGCAGGGGGTAAATTAGCTGTGTTTACGGCTAGCATACTTGAAAGATTTAGTCATCCCAATAAAACAGAGGCACAAGAAAGGAAAAAAGGGGGGTATACACCCAAAACTTTGAAGCAGTACTGGCATTTGGAGCCATCGTTGTCCAGAACAAATTATTGGGTCAGATGGGACACTGCTGTCAATCAAGGATGGACATGGGAAGAGGCACCCATCTGTGCCCAGAGTGGTACTCAAAGGTATGACAGGACGAGGGGCACTTGTGTCCCTCTTGGCTTTTAAGTGCAAGTTCAGGCCACTTAATGGATGCTGTTAATCCAGCCCAGGTCTTGGACACGCTGCCCGCCTTCTCTCCCGTCCTCAAGCAAGTGGTGCTTCTAACGAGTTCCAGCCTCCGCAGTTTCCACACCCTCCTGCCATTGTCCTGATGCCTTTAACTCTGGATATTTTCCAGGCCTGAGATGGGAGCGGTGAGTGGGCAGCCGGATGTGGCCTGCAGCCAGGTCCTAGTCACCTTGTACAGTGACTGTCCTTTTATACAAAGTGTGTTCTCATTACCAACATGCTCCTGGAAATCTGGATTGATGGCAGTTGGGAGGGACCCCAGTTCTGGGCTCTGGATTGGCAGATCTGAATCTCATTCTGGTTGGAACTGAAGGGCAGCCATTGCCACAGGCCTCATCACTCCCGACCCATCATCCTTCGCACTGGGGGAGCTGTCAGCTATTGTAGTTAGGCGCCATGGAGCTGACCACAGCTCAGAGAGAGCCTGTGAACAACAGATAAGACCCTGTGCTGTCCTACCTATCCTCACCATCCCCTCTGTCCTCAAGCCCGATGTTACAGATCCTGTCGGTCCATCTCAGTGAGGGCCTTTCTTCCTTTTTCCCACCACCTTCCCAACGTGATGTCTTTTTCCAAGACCTGGCACCTCCTGCCCAAAGCACGTGAGATGACATTTCAGCATCCTTCCCTCTAAGGGGCACCCTGTTGGCACTTTGTCCAAGAGGAATTTGTTTATTCCTTTGGAAGTCCGTGATATAGCCAGTACTTTTTACCAACACCACAATTCAAAGGCATCAGTTCTTCTCTAGTTTTCATTATTTATTGTCCAACCTTCACAAGCATATGAAGCAATGAAAACAAACACCATGGCTTAGGGCAGGCGCTCTTCAGTCTTAAAACTGGCCTGCTTCCTCTCAGCACCTTGGAGAGATCCTCGACAGCAGGTATTTCTCTTACAACACTTCTTTTCATTTCTTGGCTGTTACTACCATGGTGTAGATTGTGGATCCAACACAATTAAATCAGAGCCAAATCAAAAGGAATCGCTGACGATTTCAACCTTCTCTCCTGCTTGTCAGGGTGTTGTCTCCTGGTCCGTGGTGAGGGTGGCACTGTTGTTAGGTGCTGTCAATTAGCTTCAACTCATACAACAGGTGGAAAGCACCCAATTCCGTATCTTCACAATCTCCACCGTGTTCACACTCGTTTTTGCAGTCACTGCATCAGTCTATGAGCGCTAGACACAGTACTTAAGCACTTAAGCACTTGGCTGCTAACTTAAAGGTTAAGGGTTTGAAGCCAGCAGTACCTGGATGGAAACAGACTGGACAACCTGTTCCTGTAAAGGTTCTAGGAAATCCATATGAGGTCGCACTAAGTTGGAATCACTTGACTATCACCTAATACCATTTTATTTGTTCACATGTTTGTATCAAAAATAGATGAAAGCTAGCCAGAGGCCCGTGTGCTTTGGAAGGAAGAGCATGGATGCTCTGTGATTCATCTCTGCCCGCTTCACCTGCGGGGCCTTCTACTTGACAGCTGCAAAGTGTGTGTTTGTGGCTGCTCTTCCCCAGAGGACCTCTCATGTCACCTGTCCTCCCTTTAGACGTCCGTGTCCCTTATTGGTTAAAGAAAAGTATTGGCATTTGAGATTTTATAGAGCAAACTGAATCGCTTTGTGGAAGGATTTCCTTTCACCAGTCCATATATTTAGGGGCCATGGCATTGGTTGCAATCCCTGCTAGGTAACAGCACTTTTCCCACTTTACGTCTCCTGTTTCCACTCATCCTTTCCTGCTTCCTCCTGCCTTCTGACCTGTGTTCCTGGGCAGATGTTGCTCTTGGGATCTCCTGTGGCTGCTTGATCCAGGACACTCCTCGCTGGAGTTACTCATCACCTTACAGACCTGTCTACTGAGAGTTTAGACACAGGGTGATTTCCAACTCAAGATTTGAAAAGTATCTGACAGCCACAGTCTCAAGGGTCATTAGTTTTCTTCAGGGATCAGTTTTCCCTTCCCTTATCTGCCTCATTACTCTTGGCCGCTCTGTGAGAAGCCAGAAAGGTGAAGTCGTCAACCCAGCAAACC